GGGGGGTAGACCTTAGCTCGAGCTGTTTTAAACAGCGAGCCATCCCCTTCCCGGCCTTTGAGCGCTGCATGTGCACCAGGTCCATGGTCACACCTACCCATTCTACCTTGCTGGAGGGCTAATTGGCGAAAGAGCGGCAGACGAACAAGGAGCAGGGTTGTCGGCTTCATCCCCAAGGCTCCCATTGTACATTGGTCAAAAGAGACCGCGGTGGTACAGTTGAGTCTCGTCAGCCACCTCAAGGCTCGCAGCCTCCAGATCGATGGAATTGGCTTCTGTCCGGCCCATACTGCAACTTGCGGATGCTCCAGCCATGCACAACCCCCCATGATGGCGGCTTCCCACATGAGCTGGACTATCGTGTGCAGCAGCTCCGTGCCTATGCTGACCTGGCGGTCTTGCTTTCGGCTTAAAAAGGGTAATCCCCATGGCCTAGCTTGGTCACGAAGTGGCTTAGGACCTCCTGGCATCCAACGGGCGGCTGTCCATGTCTCGCATGGAGGGCCTCCTCCAACTCCAATGATTCTCCTCTTACGAATCTGATCGACCCAAAAGGCGATGGGGTGCTTGCCAATAAGGTTTCCCAACTCGCCCTGCAGACAAAGGTCAATGCTAATGCAATACACACATCGACTAGCCACAAAGGTCTGATTCTCAATTTGCCAATGCAAATCCTGATGCCTCCTGTGGCCAGCAAAAAGGTGCACAAAGACCACTGCCTCCGTCAACAGGTAAACATCAAGTCCAATCAACGAATTCGGACAGAAGCGATTGAGGTCTCCTTCAATGGGCCCTCCTGCTGCCTGGAAGACAAAGCCGCCTTCAGGTAGCCCTCCGACTTCATTTCGCTCGCCACTACCTGCAAAATGTCCACTGACCCGCAGCCACGGCTCATCAATTTCGTCCTCATGAACCTTGCGAGCCAGCATATCTGCCGCATCAACTGAACCCACCTCAGGCAGGAGAGCGGACGGCACTTTACATGCTGGCAGGATGGCCTTCCTTACATGCAGTCCGAGAGCTCTCTGCTTCTGACAAAATTCCACATCTTCAAGCTCCTTCTGCTGAACTTCTTCTTCTGTCATAGGCGGGAAGCAAGCTCGCAACTTGGCTATGCATTGACAGGCTGTGCGAAGGTGCGCAATTAGCCTAGGTCGAGCATGATATTCGGTTCCGCAACCAAGGCAGTGGGAACCGAAAGCAAAAAATTTCGGCAGGGGCTTATATCCATGCCTACATGAGGAGTGCATATATAATCCTCGTTTGGTGGCGAAAAGAGCATCGCACAGATCACACTGATATCCGCGCGGCTTCTCCTCAGACAAGGCCTGAATTTGCACCCCATGCTGACTCACTCGCCTATGCAGCTCCCGTTCCCACAACTGGTGAGTAGCATTTCGAATCTGAAATCTCAACCATGCTTTGGCAGCCTTGCTCACGAGTGTATTCCACTCGGCACACTGACCGATAAAGAGGCACCAACCCTGCAGGTCTACTCCCGCTTCTGGCCAGTCATAACTGGGATTCTGAGTGCAAAGCCATTGCAAGTCCTCCATGAGATGCTGATACCACGAGTATTCGCCCTGACACTCATCGATCAAGTGCCAAATCACCTGTGGCATGTGGCGAACTGCCCTCGCAACGTAGCGGAGCCTCTGCACTCGGAGCATCGATTCCGGTGTATGCATTCCCAATATCCCCGCAAGTACATGGACATCGAAGTCGAACGCTGGCATACCTGGCATTAAGGGCTGTACAAGGGGCATAATCATGGTTCGGAAGGCTTCGTGCAATTGTGCCATCTCTTTTGGTCCCATCAATGCCATGACATGACCATGATAACCTAATCTCGACATGACTAGTGACCGAAACAGCTTCAACTTGCTTTGCAGCGAGACTTCATCTCGTTTCCATAAGGAGCGACACAGTGGTCCCCATGCTTTCCTTGCTGTGGCAATTCGGTGCTGAACCTCCCTCCTTGGGGCAACATCCGCCTGCAGATAAGACCCTAAGTGCTTGTACGAATGCGTGATTCTCAATGA